TAGAGATGAGGTCTCGCTGCCCAGGTGGGTCTCGAACCCGCGGGCTCAGGCAATCCACTCACCTCAGCCTCACAAAGGCACGAGATTACAGGCTGAGCCACCGAGCCCGGCAGAGCCACAACTCTTAACAGTAAATCTCCCTGTTACCCAGATAAGGAACCCGGGACGCGGAAAGGCGAAAAGGCCTGCCCAAAGTCAGACCGCAGCACATCGAGGAGTCAGGATTTGGGTTCCGGAGCTGGCCTGCCCAGCTCACACGGGCCTGGCTCGTGGACTCAGCACACTGACTGGTCTGTGCACCAGGGGGTGTTGGGTGCCCCATGGTACACACCGCCCCACAGTGTGCTGAGTTGACAATACCGGCTTGTTTATGTAACCTGAGATTTGCTGATTGAAGGAAACCCATCACTCACAGATGGGTTGAAGATATGGATCAGGCGTGTTTTTTGTTTGTTTTGTTTTGTTTTTTAGCTGGGGTCTTACTCAGGAGTGCAGTGGCGTGATCTCAGCTCACCACAGCCTTAACGTTCTGGGCTCAGGCAATCCTTCCACCTCAGCCTCTTGAGTAGCTGGGACTACAGGCCCTTGCCACCATGCATAGCTAATGAAAAAATTTTTTTTGTAGAGACAGGGCTTCACTATGTTGCCCAGGCTGGTCTTGAGCTCCTGGCCTCAAGCTAGTCTCCTGCCTTGGCTTTCCAAAGTGCTGGGATTACAGGTGTGAGCCACCACACTGGGCCAAGTGTTCTTTGAGCCGTTGATCCCCCGCCCAGCCAAGGCTGCTGCAGCTGAGAGGGTTTGACAGTCCCCAGATGTCAGGGGCCTGCATCCTCATGGCTCTCTGCTCAATACTAAGATCAGAGAAGGGCAGGGAAGGGCATCTGGCTGTCCCTGGCGGCACTCACTGGACGCTTAGAGTGTGCCAGGCCTCTCCTGGGTGCTCACTGAATCTTCCTAGCATCAGGCTAGGAGAGTGATTTTCGACAGGGGCACAGTGCTTGGTGAGTGTTTGTTGCATGCATGAATGGACCCTCTCTAGGACCCTGCAGGGCTGGAGGATCATCCCTGTTTTACTGACCAGGGGCTGTGATTTGGGGTCACAAGAGGACACAGGTCAGGCCTGGAGCTCGGGGTTTCTTGACTCTAAACCCTTAACCCCCACCTCCACCAGGCCCGGGACTGGGAGACAGGGCTGACTCAGACCGGGGTGTCAAGAGCAAGAGGGACGTTGATGACCATGGAGGGACGGCAGGACTCAGATGGGGCAGAGGCGGCCCTGGGCCTCGACTGCTTCTCCCCGTGCGGCACGGACCAAGCTGCTCTCTCTTCTGCTCAGAGGTCTCTTAAGTGTTTTTAATTTTTTTTTTAAATCAGAGTCTCCCTCTGTCCCCCAGGTGGAGTGCAGTGGCACGATCAAGGCTCACCACAGCCTCGATGTCCTGGACTCAGGCGATTCTTCCAGCTCAGCCTCCCAAGTAGCTGGGACCACAGGCACCACCACGTACTGCTAATCTTTTAATTTTTTTGTAGAGTGAAGTCTCTCTGTGTTGTCCAGGCTGGTCTCCAACTCCTGACCTCAAGCGATCCTTCTGCCTCAGTCTCCTAAGGAGCTG